ACCCTCTGTGTGCAGCACCTATATTTAATACAATTTATTTCATTTGACATTATGCTGTGTGTTCGATTAGTTTTGTAATGCTCCTTTAATTTTTGTTCTAATTTTCCGTAGTCTTTATTAACCACAATAATTCTATAGGTTTGAGTACTTCACAATTTACTTGTTTCATTGTATATCCAAAAGAATAATGGTCATCCTAGAATGATTTAACCTTTTGCCATGTTAGAAATTGTCTATTTCTACACCGTGTCTTGGTAAACGCTGGAGATAAATTCTGATTTTACTAACTTGTCTAGGATAGAGAAGGAAAGTAGTGATTTGCATCAGTAGCTTGCCTTATTTTCAGGGAGTGGTAAAATCTTCCACTGGGAATCACTGCTTTCTTGTTAACATTAGTGGCCTATACTGTGCAGCTACCCTAATGTCTGGACATCAACTGTTGAAATCAGCTGATTTGGCTAGTCACTAGTACAGAGAAGGATTTTGTTTTCTCTCATTTATTTTCTAAGGTACAATTTCCTTTCCTTACTAGTATGTTGTGACTGACTTTGCAAAAGCTTTGTTAAAATTGAAATACAATCTATCAGCCCATTGTTTTGTATCCACTATTCTGTTGAATTGCTCAAAAAATTATAGTAGGATCTCATACTGAAATGGAATATATTGTAGTACTAGTGATTTTTCCCCATACTTGTGTAATAGTTCATGTGGCAAAGATGAAAACCCATATGGCTGTGCATACATTTTCTCCACTAATGGGACTAATATTACACTGATATATAAACAAAACGTCCACTCTACTTTGATTTTAGTGGTAATTTCCCTGAGGAATGCAATATGGTGCCTTAAATTGAGGAATTTCTCAGAATTCAGTGATTTGAGTAAAATTATCATCCTTTTAGTCTACTTGTGTAGTGCACCTTTCAGATGCTGTAAATCACATCACTCCATTCATTTGCACCAGCTGAGGATTGGGGAGAACTGCTCAACAATTTACATACAGATCACAGAGCATTAATTTAGCATGATGGACCAAATATTCTGTTGATTTGAAATGGATAAAGTCTATGTCCATTAATAGCAATGGAACATTTGGCCCTGTGCTTTAAAATCAAGGACAGTGGTGGAAGATGTGTATGTTTTAGATATTGATAAGAACCTGTTCTATATAGCAAGCTGAATTCAACACAGTTATGATAAAATAAATATGGAATGGTTCTGTTGTAGAGCTATCAATGGAGTTTTTACAGATATAAATTAGTGACATTAAAAACAGATTTGGCTAATTATCCTTCCATAAACCTTTACATTATCTTCACTGGTGGCAATTAGCACAGGAATACTTTCTGTGCTGAAATGATCCTTCATTTTCAATGTATGTTGGTCTTCTAAAGTAATATCTGTCATCTGCTAATTAAATTAATTACTGGATTTTTTTTAAGTCACAGGATTCAAAACCTAATGAATAGGAATGACATTTTAAAAATTATGTAAACCTGGAGTGCTTAATTCTGCTGTTTTAGATATTAGGTTGCAATCATAAGTAGTGACTTAATGAAAAAGTAGTGAACATTCTTGATTGCATGTTTACACTAATCATTAAATGAGAAATCAGTCAGACAAGTTAAAGATCATTTTATGTGTAATAAAACATTGTCTTTAATGTGACTGAGTAAAATGATCCCCTTTTGAGCCTTTTTTAGAAAAATTATCAGCAGGATTTATGCTAATTTTAAAATGAGCACTGACAAAAACAATGTCCTCCCAAATTTACTTTATTAGACTGAACATTTTTTTGTGTAAAGGGCTTTAAACTATAAATTAGGAAGTAGGGTCTGTTTTACGTGAACACAGTAAAATGGACTATTTTAAATGGGTCCCAAATTTAAATTGATGTAGGAAATGAATATATTAAAAAACAGCCAAAGTCTTCTGATACTAGTAATCCCAATAAAGGTCACCAGTCAGATTGAATAACATGTACTGAACTCAGTGAAACTTGTTAGGAAGTAAGATATTAATCATAGTGAGTAAGGCTGCAAAATCTTTTCCATTAGTGTCATGCAACATTAAAACTTTAAAGGCCTAAGGTATGAAATGCCTTAATAACACATATATAAGACATAAAAGTATATGAACTCCTTCCTCACTGAGATATATTTCTTTGTGTAGGTGTTATAAGAAAAGAGACTATATATTACTAATAGCCAGAAAAAACTGTAAAAAAAGAGAGATTAAAGTATGAAAATATGCCTCATTATTGAACCAGAACCAAGCTTCCCTTTGTCATTCTTGTTTTCAACAAAGAAAAATCTGAAGTTTTACTTATAACAAAATGAACTAATAAAAAAGGGCTCCAAGAAAGAGCTACTCCACTATTTTTAAAGCTGGAGTGGAAGTATGATAATGCCAGCAGCGCTAATAGTTATTATTTGTCAGTCTTCTATGGGCACAGGATGGCATGCCAGAATACCAGGAGCTGTGAAAGCCAGTGGGAGTCTTCCCTGGATTCCAATGAGAGGTAGACAAAGCACATGTACTGAAATAATTTCTATCTGCATATAGAAAAAACCCATATGGTTTGATATTCTTCATGTCCTGGTATGTTTATTTGCACTGATCCCTATCAGCTCTTCCTATAAAATCCACTCCTGATGGAAGCAAGGAAGCAGTAAATGACTGAAGACTCCTTCATGATTCCCCTCTAAGTTTTACTTTTCCATTTACACTAGTACTCTAGATGCCTTTTGGATATTATCTAATTTGCAGTGAAGTCCTGTGTTCCATGCAGTCAAGAACAGAAGGTAAGATTTTTTGAGAACCAGAAGGCCCTATTTTCCTTTTGTACTGGTGTAGCTCTAGTGACTTGGGACAGTAACTCCTGACTCAGACTAGCATATGTGAGAATAGAAGCACATCCAAGCTCTGTGTTAAGATGATAGTTGGTCTCTTTATTAAGCGAATCTATGTTTTAATACAAAACTACCATAAATGCCCACATACCACCCACACACACACACACACACACACACACACATTTCTTGAAAAATTTGCCTTCCAAAACTAGGGTGTGTCTATTGGGGAAGGGGTTTAGGTTGTAGCCGTGTTGGTCTAAGGACATAGGCAGACAAGGTTCCTTGGGTGAATTTGATATATTTTATTAGACCAACCTTCCTTAGCCTGACGAAGGGTTTTTGAACCCGAAAGCTTGCTTAATAACTATTCTCCAACCATTTGGGTTGGTCTAATAAAAGATATCAAATTCACCCAAGGAACCTTGTCTGTCTATTGGGGAAGCTAATTTTTCTGCCCACAATATAAACACAGGGATGCTGTAAGATGTCTGCTGCTTCTTTTCCTTCTCTTGCCTCCCTCAGCTGCATGAGGGAGTGGTGCAGTCTAGTAGGAGTAGATCCAAGGAGGGGTAGAGTGGAGAAGTTGCACCTCATTTTGATTTCTGCTCCACCCAAAGTTTAAAACCAATGGCATGGCAGCAGCAGTGACATTTCTATTCAGGCAGTGCTGAGAGAATCAATTGAGTTCATGGCTCATTATAATCTACCTGGTTCCTCTTCACTCTAGAGTTTCACTCTCTCCTTTCTAATGCTCTTAATATTCTACTAATCAAGCTATGCTTTACTGGGCAATTTTGCTGTCTGTTAGCTATTCTTGGTGTCTCTCTTATTTTACAACCTTAAAGATTTTTAGCTCTTTTTTCAAAATACTTGATCTGCCCATGAAGTCCAGTCTTCAGCAACAGCCAGTGTCAGCTTTTGGCTGAGCAGCTCAGAGCCGCTGATAGTTCAGCTATAAAATGGTTAAAATAGTAGCTTTTGCCCAAATAGAAAATGACGTGAGTAATCTGAAGATTAGGCTCTGTTCCTGCTCTGTGCAGCCATAATTCTGAAAAATACTTTTGTTCAGTCTGTCTTCTCAAAGAACAAGTACGTGCACTTGATCCACCTCTCTGAATGCTGGATGCTGCAATGGGAGAGGAGCAGGTGGTGGAAGATTGTAGATGTAGGCCTCACTGGAGCATTGATCAATATATGCTGCTCACACAAACAAAGGCTTTGCTAAATCCTTGACCAGAGTAAGCCTCACCAGCAAACCTGACTGATGAATCTGCTCCTCACATAAACAAAACTTGGCAGGCTCACATGCCAAAAGATGGGTGGGAGAAATGATAGTACAAGGTAGGATAGTTCGGTACCAGGATAAGGCTGGAATAGGAACACCCAGGTCAGAATGTGAAGCAAGCCCATGGTACAGGAGTTTGAGATGTTCAAGTTACAGATGGAATGCAATATGTAATTCGTTCTCATCATTGTATAAAAAGAGACCTGGAAAGCCGGGAAATTTTGTAGCAGCCTGGAGAAGTTTCATGTTGTTGTGCCAACTACCTTGTCACAGATACAAATGCCTTAACTCCTCATCTGATGTACCTGCTAGGCCAAAGCATGTTTGGGCTGTGCTTGTAAACCATAAACCTGGCTGAATCTTTGCCACTGAACTGAGCCTGTGGCTGTTCTTTAAGACAAGATTAGCGTTGGGATCTCTTGGCAGGGACTTTGCTAGCACTGCAGTTCCTACTTCAACACTGACAACACTTCAATATCACCTGAGGACAACAGCAACCAGGACATTAATAACCCCAGATGAAACTAGACAGGCCCCATTCACCACCCCCTCCCCTCCCCGAACCAACACTGCCACTGTGTCAGACAGGAAAATGGGTTAGATGGGACATTTCTTATATTCTAATATTAACCCAATATTAGAAAAGTTGTAAATATTTATCTGTATTGCAGCGTTATCTGTATTGAAGTTGATGATCGCATTCCACAGGGACAGGGAGCGTAACCACTGTCAATGAAATATTTTTAGATCAAGAACCAGGGATCAATGCAGAGAAACACCTGAGGGTATATTTGTTACACAAATACATTTATACATCTATTTCAGGGATACTTACTACCATTATGAGACAAAAACAGTTCTCATTTTCAAAAACATTTTATTAGTGTTCATATGAATTTACATGAGCTAAGTGCATGACACTTAAAAAAACAAAACAAAACAATTAAATGGCCCAAGGCACAATTTTATGTAAAGATTACAGTCGTGATTAAGGACAGGGATTACAGGAGACCTTGCTGAAACTACCACATTTAGAGGCTTTAATAGTCTCCTCTGTAAACATGAAAATCTAGATCGTCAGCTGGTGTAAATTAATATAGCTCTTTCAATTACTATGGAAATATTGTAAGTTATGCCACCTGAAGATCTGGACCATAATTTTGCAGCAGTATCAGCTGTCAGGCAAAAACGCAATCGCTACATTTTCATTTCAAACATTTAAATATTAATTGCTTTCTTAAAAAAAGACAAATGTCAAAGTGACCCTACTCCCATTTTTTGCAGGATAAGTCATATACCAGTTTATTTTAACTTCAGTATTACCAAAGTGCATCAAAGCCTGGAACATCAACAGTACTGCTCCCTATAAGGGAGGACTAGTTTACATGAGAATAACAAAAGTATGTGCAGCAATAGTACTATAACTGTTTGAAGACAATCTTGGATGATTCAGTTATTTTTCAGTTCAGTAAAAAGATATATTTCACATTACGGGGAGGGATCTTGCTTTGTTCTCCCCTTAGTCAGAACAAAGAGATCATGGATATTTCAAAGCTTATAGATTTGTAACATCTGGACTATTCTCCCAACACAGTAGTAACATTTTCCCATAGAATTATGGAAATGTAAATATCTGGTCTTTAGCAAAGTAGTACTGCAGATACAATACAACAGAAGAAAAACCATACTCAAACCAATTCACATTGCCAGTTGTCTAAAAAAACCAAACAAACCTGTATCTGATGTTAAAAAAAAAAAAAGTTCTGAAAGACAGAACTAGTTTTTGGTATATAAAACTGTACATGTTATTACAAAAGAGGAAAATTATATCAAAATAGTGCATTCGGGATTTTTCAGGTTTAGGTTAGATTCACGAGGGATTTTTCTGTAGTTTTCTCATCATTTTCCTCATGACTTTACTTTTAGGCTTGATTCTTGGTTTTTTATTCCCTGCTAAGAAAATAAAAGAAATGGAGTTAGGGAAATAGTATGACAAAGTTTCATCATTCCTCACTTACTTTTCCCATCGTATTTGCTGTTGCAACCAGGCTGATAGCAACAGCTATAACTAATGTTGCAAAACATTTTCTGTAATAGCACCCTGTTTCACATACTATTTTTCCAAAATATTCTTCTTTGGTACTACAATTTGCCTTCATTATTCTTTTTCTGAACAAGAAGCAGTTTGGGAAAAGTAGACAAAATGTCTTCACTTTAAGTTATATAAGAATGAAAATAAAACATTTTCCCCACTAGAAAAAGTCATAGCCATATTTCTTTGAACAGAATTAAACAAACAATGCTAAAGTGCGCAAGTTAACTAATTCTTTTGCAAAGGTAAAAAACATATATTTTTATTTCACGCAAAGTTAATGATGTCAGTAAACTGCATACCAAACATAATAATCAAATCCAGTTATGCTAGGATAAATGCACTAGGGGCCTGACCAAAATTCCACAGGTGTCAGTGGGGTTTGGATTAGGCCTTTGGAGTGCACAGCAGAGCACATCTTGAGAAATGGACACTTTTCAAAATTGTTCAAAAGGCTTTGCCCAAGTGCCTCTCTTATCTGCATCTATATACTCCATGATCAGTCCCCAGCCCCTCTGCCTTCCTCCTAGATTTTCAATTTTGCAGCATTTTTTCAGTTTAAAATAGATGATTCAGCTTTGTTGCATACGGTTGCAAATATATATTAATTCCAAGAAAAATCAGTTCAAATCAGCTCTGAAAACAAGACAGCATCATGAGAAATTCCTTGGGGTGTGGGGAAAGAGAAAGGGAGGGAGCAAGGTGGTGTTTAAGTTGCCTAAAATATTTCTTTACAGGCACTATCCAAAGCCACACATTACAAAAGGTCTGAAAATGAATATGGACACAGCAGAACAGACACTAATGCCTTTTGGTGTACCAGTGCTTATTGAAATTCAAAGTCCACAGATTACTACAGAATCTGATGTGTTGCACTTGGACTTTGCTATCTAGTGCCTTAGTTATAGTATGGATGTTGTTTTTAAATTCCTTTCCCTCACCCCCTCTTCTTGAAAAAAAATAAAAGCCTATAGAATTAATCCTGGTAAACAGTCAAATACTAGTAGAGCTGAATATTCAGCCTTCCCTCTCTCCCTCTTTGTTTCCGAAGTATTTATTTGTGGTTATACTATGTTTCAAATAATAGTAATATAAATTTAGCTAAATCTGTACCACAGGTAATGTTACTGTGCAATGAAATAAATAAATAAATAAGATAATGCACAGCAGGCCAGAAGCAATATGGCCTGTTCAGCCCAGGGTCCAATCCTGAAAGTGCCACCAGGAAAGA